TGTAATGCTGATGGATTCAACCTCGAGTTATGAAGGAAGGAAGGGCTCTTGAATTACTCCCACAAAGATATTACTGGTATGAAGGCAAAGCATTTTTGGTTGCTATTATAATTACAGGTTTTCAGGAGACTTTCAATGTTTTATTTTTTAACATGAAAGGCTCTGTGTATTGCACAATGACTAATGTAGTTATTAAATGAGTAAAAATAATTTCTGCAGCAATGTTTAAAGGCACAATTTAAGATGATTTTATGCAAAAATTTAAAGTGGAAGCGCTTTTTGGAAATATTGCTGGAACTTGGTCAAGCTACTGCAAGCCCTCATAAATAAGGCAGGGATTACATATATTGTTTGTGCTCACAAATGTTGCGATGACAAGTACTTGGAAGGATTAGGGTCAGACTGAAACGCCCCACTAGGACTGAGAAGTACCAACAGTAACAATCGAATCAGAATTTTAGACTCAGTTTAGATGAATCGTGTGTGTACCCTGGCCTGGTCTGAATATTACTAATTTCACACTTACGGCTTTGCTCTTGCCCAGGGTCATCTTGTGGGCTTGTTTGGTCAGATCCTGTCGCCCAATCAGCAGACAGACCTCCTCTGACCAATCAGAACACGGCTGCTCCCGGCAGTGGTAGATGGCCTCCCTGATAGGCAAAGCCACGCCGAAGGGGACTGACTCCAAGTCCTTCAAGGTGAAACCTAAATCAAAATAACCATGTCCTAATTTAGAGGCTGCCTCCAACAGGTAAAAATTACAGACACTCCAGACATGTGGCCTGACAGTGAGGGAGTCAGTTCACAGACTGTGGTGTGAATGTGTTAAATTTGCATTATTGTGAACCAGTGTGGTGCTGAAAAAGAGGATATGGCTTCAGCAAAAAGGGAAAAAACACCTGCTTGTCTTACCTTCTGAGGTGAGCCAGACCACCAGCTGCTCAGCCAGACTTCCACTGCAACCCCTCACCTTCCCACTGCTCTGTCTAGAATAAAAACCCATAAAGATTAATTACAACAATGACGACTATGAAAATCTAATGAAACGCAAAAAGATTGATTTAACTTCTTTTTTTTTTTTTCAAAATAGCTTTCAAAATTTTTTGCAGCTCTAAATAATTTTTTGTAGAATTTAAAAAGGTCCCTTGTGACGTTTTTGACCTCTAGTAGCACTATGGAGAAGCTTTTTTACGAGCAATGTTTTTTGGTCTCATGCATGAGAACACACTTGTACATCATGATACACATTCCTGTGAATGGTTTCAATTCCATTGATCTACAGGTAGCAGTAATGTACAACCAAAGGCAAAAAATAAGATGACTGTAAACAAGGCTGTATTAATACAGGTTTGAAAAAGGTTTTGCAGGATTTGGTTTAGGTGAGTGACACTGAATGTAAAGACAACTTTGTTTATGTGCATGAAAACCCCACAGGGCACCTTTAACGTTTGGGTTATTTAAAGATCTAGTGTGTAACATTCAGGAGGATCTATTGGTAGGAATGGAATATAATATTCATGGGTATGAAAACAGGAAATAAGATTTGTTGTGTTTTCGTTACCTTAGAACGAGTCCTCTATATTTACAGAGGGAGTCCACCATGTTGAACCACCATGTTTCTACAGCAGCCCACAACGGACAAACTAAACACTGACTGCAGACAGAGACTTTCGTGTTTTTTGCTAATTTTGCAGCCACCGTAGTTTCTCCTACATGCTTAGAAATGGAGTCTGAGGCGAGGGGTATTCAGTTGTTTGCAATCTGTAATCTCACTGCGACCAAATCCTACACACTGGATCTTTAATGCTTTTTGAAATTATAATAGTGTACAGAAAAAAAAAAACCTTCAATTATATAAAACAATAGTTCTTCCTCTTAGTGCTGTGAGCCGAATTACCTTCTGCACTGAGGTTCACTGGCACAAGACTTCTGGCCTGAGAAAGTGGAGGATGAGACAGAGACAGTGAAATAACAGAAGAAAGAGGTCAACAGGTTGATTCATTTGTTCTGTTTGTGAGATGTCGCATCATGCTCATCGCATTTTCACAGCTCCTGAAAGGAAACAACTCTAGACTGTATTAAAGCATTTTCAGACCTACAATGATTGGTTGCTCAAATTTGTCACTAACAAGAAAATGAGCACTTGCTGGTTAAATGGAGGTGACATTTTGTTCCTGATAGGTGGAGGACTGCATTTATGTGGGATGACATCTGTTGTTGTTTGGTTTTGTTTTGTCAGTGAAAAATGCCAACATAGAGCGGGAAAAAAACAGTCACTCAGGATTCTCTCACACCGCCCACAAAGTCAATGAGCAATTCTGTGTCAGTGGAAAGTAGGCTGATCAAACACCTCCAGCGACTGCTGTCACCTTAGCACTGTATTGGGTTTTTTGTCCAAGCAAAAACAAATAAAGGAAATCAGGTGACATGCAAAACTGCATCACTGCAAACTACCTTTCTTCCTGTGTTACTGGGCCCTGAAGCATGGAACTATGGGACTGGCAGGTAATAAGGGCTGGTTGCCAATAAATGTACACATGAATACAAACAGTCAAGGCTTCAGTCAGAAGCATACATAGTCCCAGCATGCAATCAAAGAGAAGTGAAATGATCTTTAAGGCTAGTCACAAAAACACACACCTGCAGAGAGCTTGGCCAGGTACTTTGATAGGTCTGTCGAAGTAGCATTTTCATCTTCAGTAATGTAGAGAGCATAACTCTGAGGAAAGAGAAAAAAGAGAAACACACATAAATACTACAAAGCAAAAAACAGAATTGGTATCATTTGTACAGTGAAAATAACATGAGAGTTAGATCATTATATATACATTAAAATTTCCAGTGACTTAGGTATACATTTTTTAAAGAAATATACAAAAGGATTTAAATCAAAATCATGATGTTGAAATGATGAAAAGCAGCCACAGTGAGAAAACATCTAAAACATCTAAACCAATCATCACATATTATCACAGAGGACAAGATCATTGGCTGTTTCTACTATAATAGCATTACTCTTCCTACTGCAGATCCTGGCAGCATTACATCTCTCACAGTATAAACCAGCATAGGTAGTGTGTAGGTCAAAACAAAAGCTAAAGCAAGTAACTAAATAATAAGCAAACATTCACATACTTTCACATTCACATACACACAAAGCAGTGTGTAAGCAACACTTTATAAGGGCCTGTCTGTGTGTAACCACAGTCTGTCTAGTATCTGTCTTCAAGAACACAGTTTGGTTGATATGAAGCATTTAAATTTAGGCTCAGTTATTGCAGCCAACATCATCCATTTGCAGAGCTGCATTATCAGTAAGGTCAAACCTGTAGACCCATGCAACAGGTGCCACCTATAGGTAACAAAAGGAACAGCAGTAGCTTAAAACGTAATGTACAAATGCCAAATGCCAAATGCCTGAGCGTGTTCCCCTGTATTAAATAGTTAAATGTTTCCATTTGTCAATTCCTCTATTTCTGTATTCATTTAATTGTTCTCAATTTTTTACGCAACGGCATTTTTAAGGATAATAGAATGTTAGAAAGTTTTGTCAGGACTTTTCACATCCTGATCGTGTATACTGTATATGTTAATCTATCATGTCTGTGTCTCTAAACTGTCTGGTCTGTCTGTCTCAGTCGTCATCACTCAGTCATCCTCCAGAGAAACAATGGTTGCCTTCCTTCCTTTATAAGTGAAGGTTGATATCCATCAGCACAGATCACACACGTATGTACACATCTCCAGCCATACCATGGCAAAATTCAGAATCACATGCTACCGCAAATAGATTATCTGACTGTGTCTCAATCAAAGCTGAACTCTTTACCCTCCATGTCTAGCTCACACACAAGAATGTCTGGGACATGTGGAAAATCAAATTTAAAACGACTGACAGAACTCCGTCAAAGTTAAAGACAAACACACTTAGACATCATCAAGACCTCTAAAAACTGTATAACCTTGACAAATCAAATCTGCTCCTACGAACGTCGAGTTGGCCTGCTAAGAAAATGTTTCTTACCTTTCAGCTGCAGTTCCCATCCCTGTGATGTGTGAGAAATATAAAAAATTACTGATTGTGTGAGGTCCCAGCCTGGGGAAATCTGTCCCATTTTTGTTTGTATTGTACAATTATGATGATTTAAGACAATGTCCAATAGCTCAACAAAACCCAAAATATCCTGACGTATAGATGATGTATCAAGTTTGCTTTTAAAGTTTGCTTCGTCTCAAAGCCTAGAAAAGAATGCAAGATGGAATATCTACTTAGTATTTGCTCTGATTACTACTATATAGTAAATGTTTTCATTTATGAATTTTTACGAAGGTGCTGACAAGATTAATTGTGAAAGTGCTTCTCCATTTTTGGACTTTCAGGTCATGGGTCTGAGGATAGTTGCATGCATGACAATTTAAAAAAAAGGATTCACCTATATATCTTAAAGCTTATACTTTAAATTATACTACTTTGCTAATTGATTACTATCGGCCTCTGTACTTTATGTATATTTTGCTACTTTTGTGATCATTGATTACTAATAATATTCTTCCTCATTTTTTTCTTTTTTAGAAAAACACAATTGGGTAATTGCATTATGTATCAGCAATAGACACTTCATTAATATCAGTAAATAAGAAATTGTTCAATGTAATGTCAATAGTTTCACTTAAAAGCATTAAATGCTATGAAAGCAAATAACAAATATGCCCTGGCTCATACACAGCCTATCATATGGCTTGATAATGGAGCATGCTATGAGTGAATCACCACAGCCGTTTCTACCCTTTGGAGTACATGCTGTCAGTCACGACTGTTTGTGTGTTACATCTCAAGAAAGAATCCAAGGGCAGTCCACGATGGAGAGGTACTAATTATTGCCTGTGATACATAAAGTGGTTCAATTCAACCTTGTTTCCCCTGGTCTTTATTAAAAATAGGTAATTCAATAATAATAATAATAATAATAATAATAACTCAAATTATTTGGCGTCCTTGTAGCCTGTTCATCTAGGATGTGTAGCATGTGACTGTCTCCAGTTTGAGAGCCTATGTCTTCCCACCTGTTTCTACTTGTTATTTTAAAAATTAAGCTTTGGTCGTACCAGAACCAGCAGCCTGGTCCTCTGACAGATTCCAGGCAGGTAGGGGAAAGGCAGGATCTCCTCCCCTCTTAGACAGCTACTGAGCCAGCTGAGCACACAGGGAGGATCTGCCCTCAGGAAGGACGGACGCTGCATCTGACCAAACAGAACTGTGGAGGGATAGAAAGATGGAGGGTGAGGAAAACAGAGGACAATAGGAGAGGAGAGGGGAAAGAGGGATGAGAGTGTGTGTGAGGAATGCACAAGTTGGGGTGGAAGTGGAGACAAAGGGGGATGCAGTTAGGAAAAGGGGGCAAACATGATATGGATTGTGAAAACAAAGAACCGGGGAGGAAGAAAGGGAGCAAGGGAAGAGGGATATATAGAGGGAGCCAGAAGTGGACAAAATAATAGAAAGAGAAGAAAAATTCAAACATAAAACAAACACTGTGTGCTGAGTCTTTATCAGCAGCAGACACTCCTGCCCTCTCCATTCCAAAACAACATGTCTTGTCTGTTTCCTGACTTGATACCATTATTCGACTATCATATGGGTCTTACCCTGGTCTATGAGGCAGCTCTCATTGAAGCCACTAATTAAGGAAGGGTAATCTCTCCAGTACAGATCCACGTACTCTTCCAACTGGAGGTCTCTGCAAAAAAACAAATTTATTAATATTCCTGTATAGCAGTGACTCTACATATACATAAACACGTCACATCTCATATACCGAAGAGATCTACAGCATAAGAGAGTCAGAGGTTGAATTGTTTTTTTTTTTAACTCCGCCATAGTGAACAAAGGGAACATTTCCACTCACAATGCGAGTTTCTAATCTTTTATCACTGGGTTATTAAAACTACTTTGTTCCACATCTGCACAACTGGACAGCAAATGGTTCCACATTCTCAAAGAGCCTCTGCGGCATTTAACTTATTTTTAAACAGTAATTAAACACATACTCTGAGTAAGTAACAGCCGTGAGTCATTACCATCCTGCATTTACATCAGATGATCAATAGTTTTTAATCCCAGAACTAAGCCCCGACTCTCACACAATTTTAAGCTTTGTGTGTGCATGTGTGCGTTGCACACTGGGAAGTAGTTGAGCATACAGTTATCCAATTTTACAAAATGTATGTAAAAACTCATGGTTATAACTCTAAAACTAACTGTCAATCTAAATCCTTTTCCGTTTTTTTCCCTAAGCTTTTATGCTTTTGTACAGCCTCATTACCCTGTGTATCTTTTTATATTGTTATATTGTAACTATTTCTATAATTTCCAGTGCCAGGGAAAAACAAAATAGTAAAATTATTTTACAGTTATGGTATTTTTTTCCTGTATTAAAATTTATAATAATCTATGAAAAGTCCTATATTTAATACTACATTTTAAATTATATGAATAATGATATAAAAATGATAATGTACAGTGTTAAGTTAGCACCTTGTAGGGACATAAATGTGACCTAAATCAATGTATCTGATAGGTGTGTAGGTAGTAAAGCTGTCCAATCACTGTTGAGAAATCCTGTCCTCACTAGTGGAGCACTGTTTACTACAGGGAGATATTTCTGGCTTTTGTCTCAAGTTTTGAACGCAGCATTTTCCTGTGGGCAGAAATTTCCACAGTCAAAGTGAGGCTGCAAACTGAAGTTCAGACAGGCTGGTTAAAGCCCTTCCATTGGATCCTCTGCTTTACATTAATCTTGTTTGCTTTGAAACCTGCTACATGAGGATCATTCTTAAAATACCTTACATATAAAATGGTAACATAGGATATGTGAAGAGGGTTAAAACCAATTTCTCCCTCATGTTATTGAGATAAATGTTTGTAAAAAAAGTGTCCCAACAAATTCTTTATAAAAACAGCCAGGATCATTGTTTTGGCCATAACTAGCTAGCCTGAGAGAGGGTGAAAATGTGTACTATACTTCACAACAGCCCACATATTAACCAACACAGACCAATTACTCTGAAGAGCGCTTAACTTTCCCACTTCACCTGTTCTGTTATTGTCATCACAGTGATCACTTGAACCTGTTGAAGTTTATTGCTCGGTACACATCACTAAAGAGCCTTGATTACACACAAGCTTTCACTGAAAACAATAAAATGTGTTTGCCTTTTCTTCTCATGGTGCAAGTTAAATGTAGTTTGGTGTAAAGTAGAGCAATTTGTCTATTCTCTATTCTGTAACCTTTATGTATGTAAACAACAGTTGTTGCTTTGTGGTTACCTGGCCAGCTGTTGAAGCAGGCAGACGAGCAATGACGCTCTCGCTCTCTGCAGCTCGTCCAGCTGCAGCTCTTGATAGAGCAGATGGAGAACATAAAAAAGAGAAGGAATGTGAGGGAAGAGAGGCGCTGAACTGTCCAACTTTAGAGGTGGACAAGAGGGAGAGGACACCTAAGACAAACAAAGGACAAACAAAAATAAGTTCAATTGTAAGAATACAAGGCAAAGCACAGTGTGCATACAGAAAAAAAGAGATGGGGAGACACTGACATTGTCAATTAGTACAATTATGTAACTATTTTAGTTAAGGTCTGAATTCATTTTAGGGTGAAAAAACCTTTCAAATATTTAGATTAGAGGTTCCAAACCTTTTTGTCTGAATTACCCCCACAGCTCTGTCATATGAGCTCCAGTACCCTTTCACCAGCACGGCAAGTTTCAACCATTTATCCATTACTTTTCACTATTGCAGCATACACACTCAGTAACCAGTTTATTATTAGGTTAACCCAGCTAAAACTAAAGCAGTTTAATACAACAGCCCTACTATCAATCCTACCTTCAAGGTAGAACCCACAAGAGTTTCTGAGGGTTATAATAATTGCATCTAGCAAGATGCATCTGAATCCATGCAATATTAAGTCTTATTCAAACAAAGTGCATCATGCTCTGACCCAAATATGTAGAACAAACAAAAAAAAAATAACAACATGTTATTTATCAAGCCATCAAGAGGGAGTTACTTACAGAGGACAGGCAATCAGTGTCCGTTATGAGAGTATTATTGGAGCCACTGGAGTCCACTGGACCGCAGACAGGCTGGGAATTCATCTGACGATGGTAATGAGACCCCAATAAGTAGTCCCAGTCCTTCAGAGAGAGGAGACATAGATAAAAACCAGTAAGAGCTGGGTTATCTTACCGGTCAATGTTGTAAGTATATGGCATATAACCACATACAAATACAGCTTTGTACAAAGCAAAATATATCCAACGTGCATTACTGCATTTTGATGGATAAAAAGGCAGCATGTGTTAGGGGCAAAATAATGGAATTGGAACATTCAGAATGGAAAAAAAGACAATGTTATTATTATAATTACACAACTATCTATCTATCTATATATATATATCTATCTATATACAGTTA